TACATATTATATATATTATTTTTAGAATTATATATAATATGTTTATGTATCTCCAAGTTAATTTCTTTTTATATAACTTGTGAGTGATAAAATTTAATATTTTAAAGATATGGTCATAAATATCATATTATAGAATATTTTATTTCAATAATAGTAAAGAAATAACATTCTCATAAATTCAAACATATATTTAAATTATTTACTTATTTTTACAAATATTATGTTGCTACAAAAAGTATCTCTTTGAGAATGTGTTATAATAAATCTATTAATTCTATCTATTAACTCTATTTATTTCTATTTATCTCTATTTATCTCTAACTGTAAGTAACTTTCATTTAATATCTTATTATGTAGCCTTCTGCCATTATTCACTTACTATATTTGTACAAAACCATATTAAGAAATAAAATTTTTCTAATAAGAATTTCATAACAAATTAATAATACATTAAATGTATTCAACTTTCCAAAATTTTGTTTGATTGTTTTTAATGTTGTATGTTATAAGTTAATTTTATAAGTAATAAAATAAATTTTTAATTGTAACAATGGAATTCTTTTTCTAAATTAAAAGTGTATTTGAAAAGTAAAAATATTAAAATAAATTTCGTATACATAGAATTGTGTAATACAATGTTAATCAAGTGTTTTATTATCTAGAGTCAAGGACAGATCGAATACACGTGCGCTATTGCTTTCGGAATCGATTCATTATAGTGATTTAACATTAAACAATTTAGTTATCTATTTGTTACCAAATTAATAAAAAAATTTGTAAAATGTTTTATGATGTTAAAATATTTATAGCTGTTATTAAGAAATAAATTTTTTCCTAAATTTCGTTACTTTGCGAAATATTGTCAGTTATATGATCTAAATATATAAAAAATAATTTATATAATTACATTAAGTAATTTTGTTGTTAATTGTACCGTATTTTTAATTATATTTATTATCGTCTTTACTGTTACAGGTTACCTAATCCGAAACGAAAATTTATTGAAATACGAACTTGCAAGAAGACGGCCTGATTTAGTGGAGCACATTAATTGGAATAAACCAAATACAGGATTTACAAATGGAATAACTGGTATATTTTTTTATACAAATAATGTTTTATAATACATAGTATGTAAAAGTTTTTAATTTTAAAAATTTAGATAGGCGTAGTAATAAAATAATATTATTCTGTTTAATTTATAGATTCCAAGTTAAAAACGCGGATATCTTTGTTGTCTTCAGTAGATGGAAAACAAGAGATAGTATTATTAACAAAAACATTAGCTGATGCTGTCGTTACAGGAACAATTAAACTAGAAGAAATAAACATCGATTTGCTCGATGAAAAATTAAATTCACGAGGAATCCCAGATCCTGATTTGGGATTAATTTATGGTCATATTTGTTCCACATATGGTGTTTTGCCATGGCAAACACGAGTAACAGAATTTTAGTAAGTTTACTTCAATCACTAATAGTTTGTGTATTTTCTAGACTTTAGCATTTTTATATTTAATTTGTAATATCATATTTTCTGTTTTAGCACATTACCTCTACATGTTACTATGTCTGTAAAGGATTTTGCATACTTGTTGGAAAAATACAATAAATGCGAGCAACGATATGGAAAATAACTGGAATTATTCTTCATTTGTGCAAGGCTTTCGTATTTAAAACAAGAAAAAAGAAACAAATAAAACAAGAAATAGTTTTTAAGGAGACTTTTTACAAAGACTGAACTTAAAATAATTTTCAAATACTATTTTATAAGTCATTGCGTGCTAAATAAACTTATCATGGCTACATGAGTAGCATAAGTGTCGTTTTGTGAGCCGATTTTAACATGTACTGATAAGAAGGAATTTAGGTAGCTTTACTTCAAAAGATTCTCTTGAATATGAAGAGAAAATTCCACAGAATTTTCCAAAAGTAAAATATCTTAATTGTATTTTTAATTATACGAAATACAATAACTGTCCTGCCGCGAGATAAAACCATAAAAAAATGTTCATGATGTGATAATTTAATTTTCTTCTTGATTTAATATTGTAGTTTATTCAGTTTTTATATACTATGGTGATATTTTAATGCATTTTAATGCTATTTAAATGCCATAATGAAAAGTGATAAAAGTTGAATTAAAAAATAATAAAATTTGAAAAAATAAAGTGTATTGATTTAAACTCAAGTACAAATAAACTTAAAAAGTTAAGGTAAAGTTATAATACACCATTTTGATAGATTTAAAAAGAATTTAACTAGTATCACTTTTTTGTAATCTTCATTTATATTTCTTAAAGAAGGAGAATTTGAAGTATTCACATTTTCCTAAATGAATATACCTGTTTCGATCATACAAAAATAAAATTTTGACAATTATTGTATTTTATTTATTACAGTCCATAACATTCCATGTATATAATAATTTATTCATAAAATGATAGCGTATCCAGAGATTTTTACTTTTGTCTGTGGTATTTTTCTTGTGAAAAATCGCCTATTGTGGAATCAAATTCCTAAAATATAAAATATAATTCGTTTTTGCATAAACATGTTTTGCTTACTTGACAATCCTTTCTACATTTTACAACTTTCAAATGAAGTTACCAAATTATTTATTCATTACAAAATATTTCTAAAATTAATTGTATGACCGATATTTAGTGGAATGAATTTAATCTTTTAGTTAGATAAATACATATGTTTACTCATAGTTTAGATTTTAAAACTGATAATTTCTTTTTAATTTAGTGATTATTGCAAATTTGATACAATTTTATTCGACAATAGTAATATATTGAATTTTATCTTTTATGAAGAAACTTTATATCCACTTATTAGGATAAGTAGTTACATTTATTAAATTGATTCTTTATTAAATATTCTACTTATCTCCAGTACTTTACTAAATTCTATAAGATATAAATACATAGAATATAAAAAAAAATTGATCAAATTGATAAAAAAATTTAATTAAATCACAGCCAAGCACATTTTTTCTAAGTTCCCTCAGAAGGTTAAAATTATTAATTAAATAATAATTGTTAAAACCACTGTTTCGATTGATTTTTGTAGTTCACCATCGACGTCATCTATAGATATGAGATTTGTAATGAACTATCCACGACACTTTCTACGGGTTCATATGCTTAACATTGGATTATATACTTTCAGAGATGTCAGTTCAGCTTTTCCGTGCACAAAGCAAGTACAATAGTTGTAGACGAACGGGGATACAAACATTTTTCAAGATAAGGCGCGCTATATTGTACTTATATATGCTGTACACCAACGTGGGTGGCGGGGTGGGGAGTTGACAACAAGAAAGAACGACAAGAATAAAAGCCGGACCGTTCCCGGAGACGCAATCACGTCGAAATGTTATACTTTGTCAGAAATTTCAATGTCGTTGCAGATTTAAAAAGTAAATAGAGAAATCATTAATTACATCATTCATATCAAATTCATGGAAACTTTGAAGTTGAGTATATCAACCTTTAGTGATATAATTTATAAGAACTCAATTTTTTTTCAAATAGGTTATTATTTTTCCTCTACTGAGGATTTTATATTTAATTGATAGCAGATAAAGATTAAATTGTTCCATGTCACGCAACAAGTGTGATTTTTATTACAATATAGATACATAGCTTGAAATAGGATTCATTTGTCAGATTTGTTAATTTTCAATTTTCTCAAAATATTTAATTATTTTGTAGAAATATTTTAATTTTTTCAAAGATTTTAATTAAAACAAATTTTCTAGCACTATCGGAACATTTTATTTTAAAAAAGTGATAAATGGATCATTATATCATAGACTTGTTATTTTATATTAATTGGAATTACCTGAGTTACTTAAAGAAAGCCATACGTAATTACACGGAGTCTTCGTCATGTTTTTTCACCTTTGCAACTACTGGAAGACGATCCAAAACATTTAAATGACATGTATATCGAAGAAGAAGGAAATGTTCGCACCTGTGTCACGATTGTTGTCTCACGATGGGAAACAACTGACCCAGATTCGCTCCTGGAAAACAAGTGCCTCTACCTGTTGCACTTCATCCCCGATTCATGAAAGAGTATTTCATCTGACAAAGAAGTACATGGGGCGCCCTTTTGCGTACTGTGATATTTCTTCTTTGAATTAGCTATTTTTATTCCTCTTCCTATTTGAAAATTTAAAGTAAAATGTTTAAGAGTTCAATATTAAATAATTTTACTGGAATTATAAAGGAATGATAAGAATTTGATAGTTTATTACAATTTGAATGATTTAAATTTCCACTGATTTCGTTTATTTTCATCCATGATAATAATTTTCGTGCTCTCATAAAAAATTATACATTTTGTAGGATTACTTTTAGTTAAAAGAATTTGTGGAAAAGAATTAAAAAATTTCTTCAATATATAAATAAAGAATAATCGAGACTATTAGGAACAAATTACAACCAAACTTAAAGCTCTCTTTGAATATCAATATATACCTATATCTTTAATATTTTTTCGAATAGTTTTTCACTTCAAATATTTATTCACTAAATAAATTAAACAGAATCTCTTTAAAGTCAAGTTATGTAAAACCAAATTACCATAAACAAAATATTTGGATTACATATCTCTGAATTTATTTTATATAAATCTTATTTTTCTTACTATTACGTTCAACTGTATAATTGTACTGTTGCAAAACATTTTGTTCATAGAAAATTATTAATTCTAACCACTTTTATCTAAATAATGTCCCATTATAGATATGAGAAAAATGCAAAAATTTTGTCGAATATTCAAACAGATTATTCGTTTTTATTAAAAACCAAAATTGCAGACTTCTTACGATTTCTTGGACAATCATTAAGATGATCGTGCTATTACTGAACATGAGTGCTAACAGATTGATCTGTACAACGGGATCATCGTTTCGCATCGCTGATGATTATTATTTGCTAAGAGTCATAAATAATAAAGGAGATTACGTAGGTCGGTAGCCGGCGGTGTAATTGAATCAAAATAATGTAGAGGTGTCGTATTATACGATACGGGCAATCATAACTCAGGCTATCTTGTCTCTGTGTCGGCCTGTGTCGGCCCGTGGCGGCTACGGGGGATGCGCCGAGGGTGCCTCTATATAAGGGTTGTCATCTCTCGTACCCCGGACACTCGTTCCACCGCAGCAACAGGCCGCAAACGTCGCGTATCCTCTTGCAAACGCGATCGTTTCCCTTGTTTCCTATCTTTCTACTTCTTCTTCGTCTCGTGCAACAAATCTGCCAGAAGCCACACGCTGAGAGGAGAATCTCGACGTCCACAGGCCAGCAAAAGAGTTTCAATAGTCATAATAGCGAAACTTACGACATGGTGAGTGATTGAGTCTTGTGAATCTTTGGTGCATCGATGGATCATTTCATTTGGTTTTCTTGTTTAATTCCTCTTTTTCTTTTTCGGTTTTCTAATAGGTTTTGGTTTGAACATGAGCTATTTTGTATGGTTTTGAAGAGTTTCTTTTTTTTTTTAAATACGGGATGATAATTTTAAGTGGTGAATCTTAAGAACTTTGTTGAGTCTTTGTAACTTAGCGCAATTGGAGTATTGTGATTTGGTGTTTAATCATTTTTTTCTCTACAAATATGTTAATTTGTGATCGCAGTTTGCCCTTTGAATAATTTTGATGGAGTTTACGAAATTTTGAATAGTTTTGTGCGAAAAGAGGATAGAAACGATATCTCTTCTTTTCACGATCGGTATACAGCTTGATCTCGACATTTCAACTGTGTCTCATGATATTTTACATAGTTCTGCGTAAACATATGCCATAATGGCATAAACGGTATTTAAAGCTTTCGTTCTTGATTAAATTTAACTTTAATTTTACTGGTGACATCTAATGAATAGATGGTTAATAAGGAATATAAAAATTTGACTGATATCGTATCCTTCGTACTGGATTTCAGAATTTCTCATGTCCTCGAACTTATGAATTTTCATTTCCTGTTTATTAAAAGTAAGAACTATCGAAAAAGTATGCAGGGGTCGACAGAAAATAGCGAGAATACAAGAGATATCTTCCGCTTCCGTTACAGTTACATCATAGCAAAGTTCTTAATTCCTTCCATCCTTGATTTTTGTCCTCTTCTAAAACAGTAATCCGTTTTAGCGATTTGTTAATTCAATTTGATAACAATAGCAACTAAAACAACATATTCCTATATTACTTGCAATTTTCGTTCATTAATTTAGTCGACACAAAAATTTATTTGATCTCATATGTTATTTATAGAATGCATGTGGTTACGGTTGATCTAAAATTACATCATGTTATTTAATAACAATTTTTTATAATTGTCTATAATAAATTTTTTATAACAATTACTATCTATTTAGAATACATATTTTATTTAAAATATTTATTTCACCGATATTAATGCATTGTCAAAGAGTTAATGATGAGTTCGTATAAACAATACTAGCAACCCTCTTTCTTAATATGTTCATTATGTCTTAGATCCAAATTGGTATGTTGCTTTACGGTGCCACATGATACCGTCTAAGATATGAGAGCTAAGTTAAAAGTTAGGAAATTCTGAGAAAAACTTATTATTATGAGAATAATAATAAGAATGACAATAATAATTGTTCATTTTAAGCATATATGTAAAATTTTATGATATAGAAATAGATTTGGTACGAAAATTATTTGTTAGGATAATATAAGTAATGGAAATTCAATCAGTAGTCTACAATGTGTTAAACTTTGTATCTACTAAATAAATTGACCTACCTCTAACATTTGATATCTTCCTCTATATGTGAGATTACCTATGTATGGGGAATATATCACTTATTCTTTACTTTCAATTTTTTCATATTTTTTTTCTTTCCTTTGTGTTTGTTGATTACCTCCAGGTTACACACGTCCTTTATTTCAACAGTAATGTCCGAAGTAACGGAACCGTGGTCCATATAGATCAGAAGCTACACCCACAGGAATCACTTCTGGTCAGATAACTTTCTGGTTAAAATCTGTTAACATGTATTTCTTTTTTATTCTGGAAGCTAAAGCCATTCTCTTATCTTGAGGCTAAAACAAACAAATTTGTATTCTTATACCTTTCCTTCTGTGTTTCATAATTACACGTAATCGAATTAGAATTGAGTTACTCTACATTATAGAGTTAGTTCGTAGAACTGTAGTTACTTTTCCGCATTACTCTTTCGTTTCACGATTCAAATTTAATCTCTTTAACTTTTGTCTGGTTAGCTGCACGAAAATAACAATTTTACGTCTTTCTCATGGAATACGGTCCCAGCCATGGGACGTGTTAATCGCGTTTCTATCCAATTATTCTCCATGGAACTCAGAAAAAGACGGGTTTCTTTGCCGAGGACGTAACGTTTAAAATTCTTCGTGGTTCTGACCATCCTGTTTCGTTTCTTTTCTCCGACTTTGTCGTATAAATTGCTATTAAAAGAGTACTAGGTGTATCGAGGGCAACGGGTAACATAATTTGCGAAGTCGATCTTCCTCCGTAGCGAACGACGAATACGATATCAGATGGGTGGATTTTAATTTTACATTCATTCAATTTTTTACTTCTTTTCTTTTTCTTTCTTGCTTTCCTTTACGGCACTCGATAGCTCCCGCTGCATGTTTTTCAAATTTATAAAGCGAAGGAAACGTGTCATGTTGGTGGAAACGTAAGCGAGGGAGGCGAAGAAATTCATGAATAGTTGAGATGGAAGAAGTATTATCTACGGTAGAAAAGAAGTTTTAAACTTTGTTTAAGTATGTGCCTGCAAGAATATTTCTAATTGTCATTGTTTTGTTAATGATGGCTGAAAGTTTCTTAGTATACTACACATTTATTCATTGATTAAAGTTTATTAAATGAAAGCTTACCGTGATATTTTCATTCAAGAATTATGAATTATTTGACATCCTATATTAATACAGACAATTCTGTAATTACAGTTTTAAGAAAAGAAGTCATTCTTCCCTTGTTCTCGCATAATCTTTCTTTCACAGTCACTTCTTCTTTCTTCGATTGCTCACTTTCTTGATTCCAGTTGGCAAAGCAAGAAATCGTGATCTAAGCAAATAAAAAGTGTTAATGAGCTAATAGAGCATCAATATTATTCATAGTCTCGGTTTATATCTGTTTTCCTCGTGGTCTGGCCTCGTAAATCTGTAGCTTTTTAGCAGAAAACGTAGGCGACGTGGTCATTACGAAGGGTGACCGCGTACAGGGTTAATTAAAGTAACGTAAGGTATCATATTAATCTGGCTCCATATACTGGGGTATTACTAAACATCCTGTTAAGACACCTAATAACAAGCCGATATTATTTATCATCGGCCTTGTCGCGACCTCGATGTTGCATCGAGAATAATCTCAGGAAATCTGTAACAGAATATTTTGACCAATTCTCGAGTGAGTACCTTCAGCTTTTGTAATATATAATACTTGAGGAAGTCTTGCGAGGAGGTTCTCGTGATCATATCTCACGTATACTGTTAAGTTTTTGCTTTTGAATTTTCGCGAAGAAAGAACAATTGTATGAAATATCTTCAGATTTTGTGTATCTTTATATAGTTTTAGGAGATTGGATGGTTAAATCAAAGTAAATTTCTTAACAATGTGAATAATTTCTTATGATGATACGAACAACGGTACGGTTTGAGATTTTGAGAATGCTGTACTCCTTTTAGTTGGAAATTAGTTGTTGCTTACGACTAATTTATCATGTATTTGCTATTTTAAATGGATGCATTTTTTTAGATTTCGAAGATGGTGATTGCTCGTAGTTGAGAATCGAAATTTACAGTTTTAGAATTCGAAGAAGGAGATCTGAAGGATTTTGAAGATTAAATAATTTTGCAAACTAAAACTTTCGATTGCTTTCGATTGCTCAAAGACATGTCAGTTTTCATAATTAAATATTCTTTGTTAAATTGCATCTTTAACTGCATTTGTAATTGTTCAATATTATCATTATTAGAATTCTAATTACGCAGTTAAAAAATTATAGTACCTTTTGTTATCAAACTTTGTCAACCATTTTTTTTCACTTGTCCATAGACAAATCGATAATTTTACGATGAGGAATTGTCGCAAGTACTATAAACGTTTCAATTTGTACGTTATTCATTTGATTCTATGAAACATTGTGACATTTTTAACGGAACTTTTAATTGGTTGCCCTTTTAAGAGCTTTAAAACAATCACTCTATTCGATAGACTGTACATGTAAATAAATATCGGATGAAAAAAGAACAGAAAAGCGAGATTTATGAAATTATACAGAGAAACGTTGTTAAGCGACAGGTCTTTGGATCTTGATATCTACTTTCTATTGTGCTCCCTGTTCAATGGAAGGTTTCACGTTCTCGAAAGTTACGTAACAATGATGTTATCGTTTTTCCACCTTGTTACATAAAATATGTGTCCTTTTTTTCGTTTTTTAAACCATAAATAGCAATATCTCATTGCCGTATGTTATTTATTCTTTGCTTAAATGATCTATACATTAAGGAGTTTTAATGTTTAACCTGTTACTTATTTAACAAACACGATAACGTTTTAAACATTCTTTGGCTGTGTTATCCAATTAAATTTCTCTTTGAGAATTTAGATATTATACGTAGAATAAAATAAGTATCTTCTCTGTCATTTCCTAATTTTCTTCTACATTTTCTCCTCATCAATTTCTTTCTTTGATTCAATAGTTTTGTTCAATAATTTTTTGTTAAAACAAACAATTTCAATATTATGAAAAAAGCTGGGGTTCCCATTTCACTGATACATGGCTGATTAACCCTCGGGGATTATAAATTATAAATGCATCCGTTGCTCAACTATATTGACTCTCAACCTGCAAAATACTGTACGCCTTAATATGAAGTATACAAAGTGAGGATAAATATCGCGAATCATGCTTTGCCAATAGGAAACATTTAAATTTAAAGTATTCATCATTCAAAGGGTTTTAATTTTCTTTCAGAAGAGCTCGTTACCGTCGCTGTACGTGCTGCCATTCATCTGCAACTGTGTCCTGGTCTCCTCCTCCATATTAACGCCTCAGGAGGATGATGGGGGCCTGAGGATCTTCAAGGATACGCCTGGCGATTTCGAATACGTGTTGAAGAGGCATAGTGTCGATAGCCGCTCAGAGGATCCTGATTCGAAGGAACGACGAAGCAATATGGGCTCTTCCTTCATTAGATATGGTCGCAGCGATGGTGATGGAAGCATAGAAAAAGCTTACAAAGGTGACATCGACGGAAGTTCGAAGGTGAACAGGTATCCTCGCTGGAAGTCACCGGATATCTTTATTAGATTCGGACGATCGGGATTCAAAAGCCTGAATAACGATAGGGAGTACAAACGGGGAAGGAATGATTTGAACTTTATAAGGTAAATATGACGAACCGAATATATGGAATAGGTTATTTAATCCTGTCACCTGAAATTACTTATAATCCATTTGTTATATGAAAAAATTATTCAGTTGGCTCCTATGTAAAATATTATTTTTCATAATAGTCAATTTAGAACTAAATCCAAACGGCAGAGAAAAATGACTTACCTTGTATAATAAATAAAATGAGGAACAAGTTTAATTTGCAGAGGTCATTTTATGGATGTATATTTAAGATTTGAAATCATTTGTTCGATCTCAAGTACTAAATTGATACTATCCGTTTCGCTATCATCATATTGTGATATTTATTCCCTTCGACAGGTACGGTAGAAACGTGCAGGTTTATCCGGTAGAGATCGATATGGCCTCGGTGTGCACAGATTTAATGTCGAACAACGAGATCAAGGATCTTCATCCGTACGAAGCAAGATTACTGCGTTTGTGCAATATTCTGACCAACATCGATGCCGAGCACAGGAACAGTCTAGATTTTCTGGAAGAACGGCTCGATTCGAAGCACGACTAGAGGAAGCTCTTGTGGTCGATCTATCGTGCCACTCATCGAGATTCATGTCGATCCACTGCTAACAGCTCACTTCAGGAACATCGCATTGCTGCACTCAATCCTGAAATTTCGATGGACAACGTTGTTATCGGCCTATTCATATTGAGTTACGTGTTCATGGAGACTTATTACACCTTCCTTTCAGCTTTTAACTATGTAAATGATTTTACGAAGCCGGATGATATTACTGTCTGAAGTACTCCAGGTAAATTGGCGCTTGATAGTATTAGTCAACGTTGATGTAGCCAGGGTTTTGCCGCCATAGTAATTTAAGTCTCGTGACTTCCACTTTGTTTGAGTTGTGTTGATATTTTAGTGAGTTCGATTCACTTCAATGCTTATTCATCGATTTATAGATCGTACTATTTGATATTTTTGTTGACTTGATATATTTATTTTATGGAAGCTTTGACAACTCAAGGGGTACTCTAATTCCTTGCCTTATGATTTTTCTCAGTGACTACTCGTTGGTGTTAGTTGCCTGTGACGTGGTATTAAATGACATAACATCGAAATATTATACATAATTTATATTTAATGATCTTCAGTCTGATGAATCGAAATTGAAGTTAGACTTGAACTAATATTTATTATTAATACATTCTGATTTATACATCGGAACCATTGTCTCTGCCACGAGTTTGAGTCTGCATTATAAGGCAAGGGATTAATTAAATAATTTAAGCGTAATTCATTTACTTACAAATTAATTTCCATTTTAATGGTAAAACGAATTTTGCAGGCGATCACTTCTTTCGAAAGATCTATTTGTTTCAATAAAGCTGACGAATAACGTTGTACCATAACGTCTATTCCGGATAATTTAATGTGCATCCACCTGCGTATTCAATGTACATAACAAAAGTTTAATCATTGGCTTCGATATCGGTGATGTTACACGCGAATCGAATCCTCGAGATCGGTCCAAAGAAAATCGTATATTCTTGCGTTCTAACAATCGTCGTCATTGTCGATGACAAAACCAAGTGGTTGTTCCATCATCATATTGTCAAGTACCATGAAAGATTTTGGCTAAGTCCATTTACTATCGTTATCTAATAACCCGTATTTTGTTTCATAGAATAGCAATGAAAATTGAAAAATTAATAATGTTTACGATTATGGAGGTATCTGAGTGTAAAAGTAGTATAAGACAATTTAAAACTTAAACATTCTAAAATGACATAAGAAAACGATATCTGATGAAATTAGAGATAATTCTATTTTGTCAGTTCTTAACTTTCTCCTTATTAGCGGGGTATTTTCGTAAGGATTAGCTTTATGGACTTAGTTATAGCTTTCTCGAGTATTCTACAATTGAAATAGGAACTAGTATTACGATACTACACATTGTCTGTAACCTGAACGTCATTCTTAAAGTGAATGTAAATTTAATACATGCGTATAATTAAATAATTAAAGGGACAAAAAGTGGCTGGAAATGTTGTTTATGTTTCTCATTAACTCACCCTTCTCTATCATATGCGTCTCCTACTTCATCTAGTGTAAATCCAGGATAAATTAGTACTTCCTTTACTTCTAATTCAGTCTCCAAATCTGTATCTAGAACTTCAAATTTATTCCACGTACGTATTATTTATTGAAAATAGCACAACGATCAAAATACATAAAAATTGATCAAAGTTTAACAATTTCTCTTAATCCATTTTAGGAGATAATTAGATTCAAACATTGCAAATTGCAACGAATCAGTAGACAAAGCAATGGAAATCAGAGTAAATCACAATTTTTTATCATTATTATCAACATTTTTTTCTAAAGATCTTGTCACATTGCTACTCAATACCAAAATGGTATTCAGTCTGAATAAAAGAAGAGAAGCTTTCGTTTACGATTTTTTTGCAGTTTAATACCCAAGGGTTACTCCTATTGCTCTAATTATACGACTTCCTCTATGCAAAATCGTTTCGAATAAAAGTCACACCCCATTTCCTGCATCAAAAGTATCCCAAATTCCCAAACCAACCCTCGTATACAATCAGCATCCACTTTCTCGTATCGCACACAAAATAACAAAGAAAATAAAATCGAGTTACCCTTTCCTCAGAGGAAAACTATACAATGATCCATCTAACAAAAAGGAGAAATAGAATGATCCAAAGTTTGTACGTCGTAGAGAAAAGGAAAGCCTCCTCCAACTCTCTTAACGTCGCCATTTGTTCGAATCAACCCCAAGGAAACTCGTTGGTGCCGTTTACACGTATACCAATACGATCCAAACACAATCTCATAACCGGCGAAAAATCGCGTGGGTTCCATTCAGCCGACCCGTTACTTTGTGTCCAGCCAAACGAAGAAGAACGGGCGATCCCGAGCCGCTGAACTCCTCCTACCACCCCCGTAGCCTTTCTTCGCCGTGATCCATTAATCCGGAGAATTATGAGAGACCCGCGAGATTCGTCGGATCTTGTGCACGTGGATACGCAATGTGATCACGAGCGTTCCTCTTTCGATGCGACCCACGTGTTTGTGCCTAATCCATGCCCCAACTGACCGACGTCCTATGGCTTCAAGTAGCTATGTAGAGCTGGTGAACGCACGACTTTATTCCACTGTCACTTACAACCGGGTTTTCCCCTGTGGACTATCGACAGAGGGACCAGAAAGCAACGGAGCTCGTCGAGTCGACTGAGAACGTTGTTGAGGATCATTATGGTGGACATTGGTTCACGTTGATCAAGCTACTACGAGGTACGATGGATCGTGCATGTGGTGTGAATGCATTAGTGGAGGTTCCTGTGATTGGTGGATAGGTGATGTAAGTTGAAATCGAGTAAAGTGTATGGGTGTTCTTGGACGATTTTATTGTCGTTGGTGAAGTAGAGATGAAGTATAGTTTTGGGGTATAAATTTCGGAATATAGGTGGCAAATTTGTCGTGGATTTTGTAGTGTAGACTGAATGTGGAATATTTGTGGTCATTGAGGAATTTGAAGTTAGTCTTTTAGTGTACTTATAAATCAAGGGTAGAGTAATAGAGGATGAAGTATAATTTTGCTATAATTTTTTAATGTAGCTTAAAGATGGAATGTTTGTGGCCGTTGTGGCAATAATTTCTCTGAAATATTCTATGTGATTGTGAGTTGGATATTAATTTCAATTTATTTCACTTGAATTTGTCAATATACTCTATGAGATACTTTAGAAAAGAATTTTCCAGAACTATGAATCTGTTTAACATGAAACTTCTGTGTTGGCAAATGCTGGAAGTAAATACTTTAGATTGTTTCGAAAGCTCTTGTATAAATAACAAATTTGGAAACACAATATCTGAGCCATTCAAGTAGACCTATTTTATACATGTGTGTGATAAAAATTGGAAACTAGAAATACTTTTCGCATCATTTCCATATAAGCACTCGTTGATAAGTAAGTCTTATAAAAGTTCTACTTTTGCAGAAAGTAGATTAGGTTTCTCGAGGTTTAAATTCAGAGGCTTAACAAATTAGTGAACTTTAAATAACTAGTCATCTAGGACATTTCTACGCCCATTTTTATAAGTAATGGTCAAAAACATTTTAGGTGCCATATCAGTTTAAACTTAATTCTTTTACAAGGTAGATAATTTGTATCATAGATTCAACAATTACAAATATATATGTATATCGATGAATGTATCACAAAATCCTGTATGTAAATTGTTTTAATTACTGATTTTTACATTCACAAATTTTATTTCCAAGCTAAATATTAACTAAATAATAAAAATCGGCGATGGACATAATTATTTGAAAATGACGATCAGTGACTAGTCAAAAGGCGTTTCTGTGACTACAAAGAATCAACACTTTGAAAAAATGGCTTTGAAAGGAACTAATTAACTATACGAAATTGTTTCATTGATGTGGTCATATCTCATGTAACTAGAGACGTAACTTCAGAACCTCTGCCATGAAAACAAAACTCTAGTTGAAATTCAAGGCTACGTTGAAGTAATTAGTAGCAAAATATATTTGTATTTTGAAAATTGTCGATGATTTGAATGAAAACATATTTGGAAAACTATTGATCTTCATTTTTAACGTTTCCATTAGAAATATTTTACTTTTTTCACCAAAATACAAGAATTACTTCTTTGATTATTCGCTTACAAAAATGAATTGTTGTTTATCTTCTTTATTAAGATTTCGAAGTACACAAGGATTCTTCCTCTTTTCAAAACCGAAAACAAAACAGAATTAACTATAATTTCAAATTTGTTTCTAATTATAGAAACATCTCTTTTATCTTTTCATTTATAATTAACAAGCTCCTTGAAATTCACGTTAGGAGAACTGAAGGATTAACGACCATGCTAATTGGCATAGGGCAAAAGTTTTATGGAGGAAACAAGAATATTCTATAACATATTAGAATTCAGTGGAATTGCTACCTTTCTCTAATTACCCTAGTTCTGTTATATAACACGCACCATAAAATTTAAGAGAAGTTTATGGGAAATGAAAATAGAATTTTTTTTAAATGTGTAGAAAGAACATTATAATACCCTAAAATATTGTTAATTTAATTATATTTCTACATTTAGGAATGATTTTAATTCTATTATTATTCTATCTTTAGAAATAATGATAATTATTTTTATTTTACAGTTAGAATTAATTAACTATTAAAATTTTAATGAAAAGAAAATTCAGATTATTTTTGTCTAACAAGATTGTAAGATTTCTTTTACTCTATTCATTTTCCATGTTTTGTGTACTGAGTATCAATATATATCGCGTGGAATAATTTTTTAAACAAAAATAAATAAAAAATGAACTGAAGATTACAAAGTGAGAGAGGGAATCAAAATCCAGCACATTATATACTGACAACACATTAAATATTCTAAACGTACCTGAGGATTTCTTTTGAAAATGTAGTATTGTGGGATCGAACTTCTGAAAGCAGAGAAAAGAAACGAAAATTAACTTCATAGATCGCGATACTCAGATTAAGTTTCCTCAGATTAAATATCGAAATTAAATTATGGATTTCGCGCAGGCAATACGAGGCAATCGATAGGTATGACGTGTTCGCGCTCATAAGATTATCTTCGGATCATTACAAAGGAATCCTGTATTCTCAGCTCGATCCGAACCTACTTTCCCTCTTGCCGCAATTTATGTTGAACTTCTTGACTTACGATTTTTTCCTAGTTATACAGGACGTTCCAAAAGGGTTGTTCTAGCTTTTATATAGGGTTTAGAAGGCTAAATAGATAAGGCAAGTTCATGAGAATCCATGCACGAAAATGGTTTATCTAAATCATTATAGGGATTTTGCAATTTTATAAAAATAATTTTATTAATTTCCTTATTACTTATTTCTTTGTTTAATCATAGGTATTTTTGCTATTTTATATCCATCATATTCACTTTAGTTTAACCAATGCATGGTGGGCACAAATGATATT